GTTCCTCCCAGCATTATTATTTTTTTTATTTTTTATTTTTGAGTTGGAGTCTCACTCTGTCGCCCAGACTCGAGTGCAGTGGCCGCTCCTGGCCACCGCAGCCTCGACCTGCTGGGCTACGGCGATCCTTCCACCTCAGCCTTCCGAGTAGCTGGAACTACAGGTGCGCGCTACCACGCCCGGCTGATTTTTTGATTTATTGTAGAGATGAGGTCTCGCTGCCCGGGTGGGTCTCGAACCCGCGGGCTCAGGCAATCCACTCACCTCAGCCTCCCAAAGGGGCGGGATTACAGGCTGAGCCACTGAGCCTGGCCCTCCCAGCATTATTAATCAAACAATTCATCTCTCCCCCACTGATGTCTGCTGTTGTCTCCTTTTGCATATGTTAAGTTCACAGCCATTTGGTCCCAAAGCATAGACTGGAAACTTGATACTTGAACTGAATGTGATAATGCAACTCTGAAGTAGGGAAGGGATGGTTGCCAGGCAGCAGAAGGGATAGCTGCAATCAGAAAGGAATGAGAAAGAAGGTGGAAAAAGCCTGTGTCAAACAAATGTTCCTTAAAGACTCCATCCTTGTGTTTGGTGCACAAGACACTTGCTGCTGTGACATTTGGCTAATTTTATCTATCAAACTTGGTCTCCTCATGCATCATCTATATATAATAACACCTACACCATAGGGTGTTGTGCACATGAGAGCTAACCCAGGTTAACTCAGGAACACAGGAACAGGGAACACAGGCTTTGGGGTCAGTCAGTCTGGCATCTTGTCACTGATTCCACCACTAAATAACTCCATGACCCAAAGCAAATTACCTAACCTTGCAGCCTGTTTCCTCATCCACAATATGTATCAATTCATAGTAATTAAGTTATATTAGTTACTTATTACTATACTAAGTCAATTCATAGTAATTAAGCAAATTAGAAATAGAACTAGCCTATCTTAAGGGAGTTGCTATGAAAAACGAATTCTACATTTAAAGGCACTGGGTGCCTGACATATAATAAGTTTTCACTAAATCACAATTGTAGCTGGGCTCAGTGGCTCAGCCTGTAATCCTGCGCCTTTGGGAGGCTGAGGTGAGTGGATTGCCTGATCCCGCGGGTTTGAGACTCACCTGGGCAACTTGGTGAGACCTCATCGCTACAATAAATCAAAAATTAGCCGGGCATGGTAGCGCTCGCCTATAGTTCTGGTTACTTGGAAGGCTGAGGCAGAAGGATCGCTGGAGCCTAGCAGGTTGAGACTGTGGTGGCCGGGCGCGGCCACTGCACTCCAGTCTGGGCGACAGAGTGAGACTCCAACTCAAAAAAAATAAAATAAAATAAAAACAAATCACAATTGTAGTGATTTTAATTTTTATCACTGTTATGGAAGGATCAGAAAGAAGAAGATTCAGCTAAGGAGATTGAGAAGCAGGTGCTGAAAAGATCTGGGAGAAGAAAACCATGAGACTGATGTCATGGAAACAAGGGAAAATAGTATCAAGGAGGAGGGAGATAATGTAAAAGGAGGTCCTTGAAGGCTAATTTCTTCTGCCAAGACAAGAGAGTAATTTTCATCTCTTAGTAGTCGCTAAGTAAGAATAAAGGGGAAAAGGGAAAGGGGAAAATGATCATTTTAAATGAAGAGTATTGGACACAAAATTCTCTAAAAGCCTTTTCTCTTAACCCCATTAACCAGCCCAGGTCTTTCACGTGTTCCAATTAAGGAGACTACATACTCCTTTAATAAAGGAAAGCCAGTTTCATGTAAAGTGAAACACAAAGTATCAGTTTTGCACCATCCTGGTGAAATAAAAATTTCAGCAGTTTCAAATGTTCACAGCAGAGAAGAGGATGGGAAGGAAAGGATGAATCACAGAGCAGATTTTCAAAGCAAGGATCTTGAACCTGCAAGCTAACTTCAGTGAAAAGTAGGCTTGTGGTAGGTTTAGCATTTATTTCTCTTTTTACTCTACCTGGTTTCAGAAGGATATTACAACAGCATAACTGTGTATCTGGGTAAGTCAGTCAACAGCAATTATAGAGTAAAATTGAGAAAAGGTGAGCAGGAAGTGAAACAATAATTTGGGACAGATGAATGGACAGATCCCCTTCAAGGATAGATTTAAGGAGGAGTAGGGAGGAATAAAGGAATATAAAGCTGTAAGAAGCAGGGAGTGTGGGGCTCTTGTAACTTTGGAGGCCTGAATAGAGCTGCCTCCTTCTTGGAGGTGGGAGAGGGATCCCCTTTGACCGAGAGCTGGAGGTGGCAGTGGGACCAGAGGTGTTCCAGAGGGATGCCTCTTGAGCCTTATGCTCCTGCTCAGTTCTCAACTAAAGGATCAGAAGCACAGGGTTCCTCCCAGTCTATTGGCCATGGGGGTTATAGAGGCTGAGGCTTAAAGTCATCATGGAATGCAGGGTGGCAGGAGGGAAGTGGTGAGGGGCAGAGCACGGGAGGCTGAAACTCCATCCTCCTCCACCCAGGTGAATGTGGCTCCAGGAGAGGGGGACAGTGGTCAAGTGAGACTATGGGGATATGGATGGGGCGGGGGCAAAGGTTCATGGAGGAGCAGAGCTGATGGGGGTGACTGTGGAAGAAGAAACTCGTCAAGGCAGGTTCTGGGTCTGGCAGCCCAGAGAAGGCTGAATTGGGCTTCTTGTACGCCTGGATTCTACTCCTCCCTCAGAAACTCAGCTGGTGGGTACCATCACCTGCTAGCCTAGAGTACCAACAGTCTCACCTCCCCACACTGGGGGACCACATAGCCCAGGATTCTGTGTGAAAGCTGCAGGTTTGCAGCTCCTACCAGGCTTCCGTTGCTGTTAATATAGATGTGAGCCCTCCAGCCTGGCCATCGTGCCCGCTCCCTCTTCCTGTCCTCTACTCACACAACTCTGTGCTTCCTCTTCCTGAGGTGCCAGCTCTGGCTGCTGCACACCCTGTCTCAGCCCAGGGGCCCCCTATTTCCTTCCTGACAAATGCTCTTAGATCTGCATTCATTTCATTCCATTCCTTGCCTTAAATGAGATCATCCTCCCCCACCCCTGCCAGTCTTATCCTGTTCACAAGAATAGGGACTGCAGTACCTACAAGGAGCATGGGACACTCAGGGAAGGAGGTCACAGGTCATCTTTTACCCTCCAATCTGAGGTCAAGACATTGGGCAAGAGCAGATGCCCCTTCCCTAAGTAAATGAGAATGGAGCCTCTAGAATACCCATTTTCTATTTTTGTTCCCCAACCCCTCTGTCAGGCTTCTCAGTATACATTCAAGAGGAGAACATTGGGGCATTATTAACTAAGGGATGCAGGGTGTTAGGGTACGGAGAGGGTGAGGGTGGAGAGGCACAGGGAGGCGCAGCACCACTGGGGCTGGTAAGACCGAGGTGCGCGCTGGCAACTCAGAGATCTGAATATATGCAAAGAATTGCAACACACAGAGGTGAGAGAAGAAAAGATTTATTTAAGAAAAGTTCACCCCCCACAGACAGGGAGTGGGCCTACAATCTAGGTGAGTGTGGCGTTGTAGCCCCCCCAAGTCTCGGCTTAAATCCTTTCCTTGGAGATGTTGCACATGACTGCCCGTGACTTCCTTATTGACCACCTGTGGATGTCTTGGAGAGTTGTGACACAGACTCATTAATGTCCACCCACATTATCATAGCCCCTAGAGAAGGGCGTGACAAGGATTCTAATTCTCCTGTATCTTCCCAAATGACTTTCCTTGGAGCAATAGCGTGTGCACTTCCTCCCTATCTCCTAGGCATTCCCAGTAGGTAGCTTCAGGGAAATCCTTGACTTCCCTATAGATAGGACCCGTTCTACTGGAAGATTGAGTCCCCACCTGTTCCCCCTCTGAGTGGTCATAACTTTTACAAGTTTCATGACTTTTACAATCCTTGACCAATGTATGATATCTTAGGCCCTGTAAACTCTCCCCACTCTAGGCAACCTTGATCGACACTGAGATACCTCCGATGCCTGGCACCAGGAAGTTTATTCCTGAAAAGACAAAGTTGGCAAAGTTAATTTTACTTAAAGTGTGCATTTCTCCAATAGCATAGCTTCTACTTTCTCATCATTGTATTAAGATTTAGGAAGAAGAGTAAAGAAAAATGCATTTCCCGCTCTCAGCCAGTCCTTGTACAGAGGTTGGCTGTATGACCTAGGAGGTCAGTTGTATAAGGGGCTCTTTGGGAGCTATTTAGTCCATTTCAGCTTCTCTTCTTTTTTAGTAAATGAGGTTGATAAAACCCTGTCCTCATGGTGACCTCCCCTTTATAGCTTCTATATTTAGTTGGTTCCCCCCCACCTTTTTTTTTTTTTTGTAGAGACAAGGTCTTGCTATGTTGCCCAGTCTGGTCTCGAACTTCTGGGCTCAAGCAGACCTTCTGCCTTGGCCTCCCAAAGTGCTGGGATTACAAGCATGAGCTATTGTGCTCAGTCCTTTAGTTTTATTTTTCCTTTATTTTTCTAAAAGTAACATCATGCACAGACATGAAATTAGATGCTTATATATATTCATTGAAACAGAAGTCCACAAAATATATTCTTTGGTGAAAAAAATACACAGCATAGTGCTTATATTTGATCACATCTATCTATCTGGGTACATAAGTACAGGGAAATATCTGGAAGGACTTTCACCAAAGGGCTGACAATTGTTTAAAAAGGGTAGAGAGTTTCAGGTAATGTGTACTTTAGTTTTTGTGTTTTCCTTTATTTTTTAAAGGTTTAACAAAGAGATACTCCTTTCATAAAAGGCATAAAGTCATCAAAGAAATAGACACACATAGAATAGACCCTTAGGCTGGCAGAGGAGGGAGCAGAAACTGAAGTCAGGCTATCTCCCTCCACTGTGCTGGTATGCAAGACTTCTCCTTCCCAAAGGAAAACTGCTTTGTGAATTAATTCATGCAGTTAGAAGCCCACCCCCAAGCCTGGGTTTTTCCCATCACCAGACTCTGAATACAGTTAAGGGTTCATTTAGGTCTGGGTCTAGCACCTTACTGTGCCTCAGAGGAGTCATTGTGTTCCCAGGGATCTCTTTTGATCTCTGTATGTGTCAGCTCCTGCAGGATGAAATTAGATTCTCAAAAACCTGGGCCTTGTGGCTCTCATTGTCACAGGTTTCTTTTGAGTGGCCCTCCTCACCACAATATGAACATTGGATTGTGTATTTTCGCTTCCTGTCTACGCATATCCTCAGGACCATCATTTTTATACTCAGTACCACCACCACTGGGGGAAGGAGACTGAGCCCTGGAATTGTTGGAAGAATCAGTGACCAGCATTTGATCCCGAGGTCTGGCTCTGCCTCTGAGATTGAGGGCACCCGTGGATGTCAGTGAAGGGTCCTGAGACTCCACCAGAATCACATCCTCATCTGAGTCAACCACGGTATCATCTATCTCTGTCACATTGCAATAGCAACTGCCGATCAATATTGGCTGGGGGCCCTGAAATGCCACAGGGCTGGCTGCCCTCTTCATTATTGGATCACACCTTTTGGGCTGCTTCCATTCAATAAAATTGTCATCCCAATCCTCTTCCTGCCTTATCATCTTGATTAACTCCAGGAAATTGGGAAGTTGCTCCTGCTCATTTGCATACACCCTGAGAAGATGCTTGAGACAGAGGCACAGGTCCCCATTCAGCTCAGCCTCTAAAAGGAACTGTTGGAGACCAGTTTGGTTTGCATCTTTCTCAGCTAGGATGCTGGCCTGAATTGCATTCTAGAGCTGCATTTCTAAATGGACCACATAAAGAGAGGCTTTCTCTCCTTGTGCTTTCAGGGTGTTAAAGAAATTTACCATTAGCAGTCACACTGCTTTCAGACTCCCCAAACACCAGCTTCACTGCTCGCAAGAAATCTGCGACACATAGATGAGGAGATTGGGGTTGGCGGACTGAAGCAAACACATGACCTCCGGGGCAGGGCCTCTTAGAGTTTTCATTAAGCACTTGAGCGTTTCCTCCTCAGACATATTCCAATCTGGCAGGACCCCCTTGGATTCAATCAGCCATTTTTCAAAGGTTTCTTCCCCTCGGGTTGGCACTGCCCTCCCCAAGAACAACTTCATGTTTCTCTCTGCTATACTGACCATTAAAGGACCCAGACTCCTCCCCAAAGATCTCAACATGGAATGGGCCCAAGGCCGCAAGGGTGCATTCTGCCGCAGGGTTTAGCCACATGTGCAATGATGCTAGCCATGACTGACAATAGTGTAACTGAATATAACAAGATGCTCGGGATTTTTCAAAAAAGCCTAATCTATAGGAATCTCCAAAACAGCGTTCTGGGGTGTGTCTTCCTTGTATTTTAGTAGGTACTGTAAAGGGGAAAAAAAAGTTAGCAAGACAGTGAGCTGTGGGGGAAGCAGACTGCAGTAGCATTTTCTACCTTCCTGAGTACCCTCGTAGTGCGTTTTATATCTGCCCACTACCCAAAAAATACCCTGAAGGAGACTAGCAATTACAATCTTTTGTCCATGTGTTAGGCAGTTTTTCAGAGCCACAAGTATTCCAGGAGAGGTGACAATTGTTGCTTCTAATTCTAAGTGAAATAGTGTTTGGGGCTATCAGCTCAAAATAGAGCTCCATGGTATAAGTCTCACAGACTTATGGTAATAAATGAGATCTCCATTAACCTCATGGTCTCAGATCTCAACCACGCCCCCTTGTCAAAATGTTCTCTATTATTTCTTAGATTCTTACACGAGCTCGGAAACGCATTCGCCTTTATTTCGCTTCCAACCACTACAACAGCTATCTGCTTTGAGAAAACTCGCCTCCTGGGTACAACTGACCACTGTCCACTGAGGGTTGCAGGTCTGTGTCCTCAGGGACTCAAGACTGCGCCATGAGAAGGGGAAGAGAAGAGTCAGAAGTAGCTTCATCCGTCTTCCTGCTACCTCCCCTCCAACCACCTCAGCTGTCGCCAGGCGGCAAATTCCTTCTCTCACCTTCTGAAAACATGCCGAAGCGCCCCCCCCGCCCCCAATTACATTTTCTCCGGGAAACCATCGGCCCTACCAGCTCTGCAATCAGTTGCACAGAATTCAAGTTCATGACCTGCCAGGAAGAAATGGAACAGAAGTTGGACACGCTCCCACTTCCATATTTCTTCCCAGGAAGAGATGAGGCGATGCAAAAAGGGTTCAAGACAGCTTGCTATTCCCTCCACCGCCCCTTGCCACCTCCCTGAAACGCCCACCTACCCCCCCGCCCCCCAATTCAGGCAAATCCTACTCAATGGGCAGCATCCAGGTGAAACACACCTCCTCCCTCAGCGCAGAAAGGGCGCGGGATTGCTCCTCTGCCTCGCAGATTCTCCAACCGGGAGACGCCCAGCTCTGGTGGGACTTACCCCTCCCTTCTCCGCGCTGGGCAATCGCGCCCCCTTGCTTTACCTGCGCTCAGCTGAGGGGCAGCGGATGCTCTGGCGTCGACGGTGCTGTTTCGTCTTCCGGTATGTGCAGCCCTGCAGGGGGAAACGGTGGCTGGCGCCTCCGCGGCCGCTAAGCGACCCAGCACTGCTGGATGGACCAAGCCGCTTCGCACCGATGCCCAGCGAGGGGTAACCGAGTCCAGGCAACGTGGATCTACCCTCGCGACAACCGCGGCTGCTTTTAGCCTTTGCCCATTGAGACAAAAGAACGTGACGAACGGGGCGGTGCGGCCAATCAGTGGGGCGAGGGGGCGGCCTCCCCTCGCAGCCTCCGGCCCCGATGCTAATGTTGGCAAGAGGGGGGAGCGGGCCGGCGGGGGCTGCGGCAGACAGGCGCGGGAGCCGGCGCGGCGTCAAGTGCAACTCGGACGCAAGGACAGGGCCCATTTATATTTCATCCGTGAGTTTGCTGCTTCTCCATCGCTTCCCTTCTCCCTCTCCCCTTCCGCCTTGGCTCTCCTCCTCACTTTGAGACCGGATGTCTTAAACACGAGGTGGGACCAAAACCAAGTGAACAATGAGAGTCCCTCACCTTTGTATAGGAGGAAAGGGGGTGGGGGGTGGGGGTGGGGAGGAAGAGCATTTCCTGAGTGCTTTCTGTGTGTAAATGTGCTTGCAAGCTAACCTCTTATTTATTCTTCCCAGCAGCCTTGTGAAGGAGGTAGCAGTGTGCCCATTTAACAGAGAAAGGACTTAAGCACCCAGGCAGTACAGTTAGGAAGTACAGAGCTAAGAGCTCACACCCAAGTCAACATGTCTGACTTCAAAGGCTGCCCCCTTGCAAACACTCCTCTGTCAAATTAAGGGTTGGTGAAGAAAAACCAAAGCAGGGATGTGAGGACAAACTTGGGACTATATAGAATTAGTGAGCAAGGACTATTATCTCCATTTTACATATGAGGAAAGGCGTCATATGAGGCCACAGAGAGGTTAGGCGTCTTGCCCTGATTCATGCAGCAAATAAATAACAGCATTCGAGACTTTTGCACCTGTTTCTAACTATACTAACTCTTTGCCCTGCTGCACTGCCTGGAGAGCTTTTTTACATAAGTAGTCTCAAACCTTCTCAACAGCAGTCTTGATGTGATGGGAGTGCTGAGAGAGGGAGTGAGGAGGCAGTGGGAAAAGGGGAGATGGAATAGGAAGGCAACCTTCATGTTCCCATTGTATAGAGAAGGAAACTGGCACTTTTTAAAATCCTATTTCTAGCCGGGCTTGGTGGCTCAGCCTGTAATCCCGCGCTTTGGGAGGCTGAGGTGAATGGATTACCTGAGCCCACGGGTTCGAGACCCGCCTGGGCAGCGAGACCTCATCTCTACGATAAATCAAAAAATTAGCCGGGCACGGTAGCGTGCGCCTCTAGTTCCAGCTACTTGGAAGGCTGAGGCGGAAATATCGCCGGAGCCCAGCAGATTGAGGCTGCGGTGGCCGGGAGCGGCCACTGCACTCCAGTCTGGCGACTGAGTGAGACTCCAACTCAAAAAAAATTTAAAAAATTAAAAAGAAACAACCCTATTTCTTTCCTTACACTACAACAAATTACCTGTTTATAAAAATAACATTATTTCTACAGCCCTTTATGACCCCAAAGGAGACAAGGCTCACAGAGATTTGTGAAATGACTTGCCTAAAATTACAAGGTAAAGCCAAAATTTGAACTGAGTCTCTGATTCCAGAACCCAAGCTATTGACCAGAGTATGGGTTCAAGGAATCATTTTGGAGAACTTGTTAGAAATGCAGGCTCCCGGGCCTCACCTCTGGGAGGTTTTGATGTACTGGGACTAGGAGTGAGGAGTGTGACATGTATTTTCAACCAGCACTGTAGTTGATCTTGAGGGGTGTGAAGCACTGTTCTGAACACCACCATGTCATGCTAAAGGCTGTAAGTAAATGGGCCTGCCATCAATGTATCTGTCCACAGCATATTTGTCAAGCAATGTAACTCCAGAGAGGAGGTTCTTACCTGGGGTCCTTCTTGAAATTGTATGCAAAGAACTTGGACTCTGTACATTTTTCTGAGTCTGTAGCTTTGTAGATTTTCAAATGGGTCTGTCTTAACATCTTCCTCCTTCAACTTGTGCTTCAAGATGAAGTGTGAGAAATGAAACACAATTTAACCTAACCACCAAACCACAGCTCTGTGCTGCTGATATAGCTCTTTCATTTCCTGGCTCAAGGATAGGTTGCTAGGTTGCCCTTCTGTGAGCTCTTCAGGGGACTTATCCTTTGCTGGACTTAGCATCACTGGCCCCAGAGAAGGAGCAATTCCATGGAAACGGCATGCAGGGTTGTCCAGAGTGAATGGCCGTGAAGTCAGTGGCTGGAAAACCTGCTCCATTTTCCCTAACTTAGAGAGCAGGTATTATTTCCTTTGTGTAGAGTGTGGCTAGGAGGCTACAGTGGGGCTTTTTCTTGACTCCTGAGGCTGAGGCAATTGAACAGTCTGATTCCCTTTAGCTTCTGTTGGCTTCGTCTTCAGCCTGCCAAGGTACTTCACCTCCTCCCTTCTGCCTTATTTACAGCCCTAATAACCTAGAGTTCCTTGGAGTAAACTGTAATTTTGGAGATGAATCACCTTCCATCTCAGAATTGTGGCCTTGTGGACGGAATGTGGGGGTAATGATGGTGGAGGTGGAAAGTGCCAACGGTACAGAGAAGGCAGCTGCTCACCACCCACAGTCAGGGGTGATTCTAGCAATAACTAGTGGGTTTCCTTCAGACTCTTGCTTCTGTTCCCGTGTACTGTGACATCTGACCCTGGACCTCTCAGCAGACTCTTGTTCTGTGTTTAAATTGGCTTCATCGCCAAATTAAGTATTTGCAGTTAGACTTGGTAGGGGTGGGATCAAATAGGAACAATAATAGATCTCTGAGAGCTGACAAAAATAATAACAGGAAGTGTAAAGAGTGCCAGGATGGGGCCATTAGAACAAAGTGAGGTGCTCTTTGTGCAGGGCTTAGGGGAGCATTTGTAAGATGGCTCCAATTGGATACAGAGCATCCCTTATCTCTGGCCTCATATGTGGGAGTGTGTTCCAATTAATGTCTCTAATGAGACCACATTTTCCAGTTTCAACAAATAAACCTTAAAAGCTTGAAGGTTAGCAGGTAAAGCTTTCAGCTGAAACAATAATAGCTGCCTTTGCCTGCCTGCCTCCTCTGTGCCAGGAACTTTCCATCTGTTATCTTATTTAAGCTTCTCAGCAGCCCTGTTAAGTCAGCTATTGTTATCCCATTTTGCAGACAAGGAAACTGAATTTCAGGGAGTAACTTGTGTAAAGTCTCACAATTTCTAAGTGGAGGCACTGGGACTCTCTAGCCCAGGGATGTCAAACTCCAAAGCCCACGAAAATGCTTCTTTGCTGCCTTCCAAGCAAGCTATCTACAATGCATTCTGCAGATGACCCAATACATTAGAACAATATCAGCCTTTAGGACAATGTAGTTGTAGTCTCACCTTTATTCCTATTATGTCATTTTTAAAAAATGAAAATATTAATATAACTTAGGGATCAACTTGTATACTTAGGTACTGTGATAAGAACTTTATGTCATGCAATCTTCATAACAGTTATTTTACAGATAAGGATACGAGGCTCAGAGAAGTGAGGAGAGTTGGCCAAGGTGATAAAGCTAGGAAGTGGCAGGGTGAAATTCAAACCCAAGACTGTCTGAATCCAGAACCCCTGTCTGTACCCTACAATACAATGCAGTGGTCCTCATTCTAAATGGGTTCCTCCCTATCAGCCTCAGCTCCGTCTTCTTTTCACCACATGGGGCAGGCCAGCCCCACATACCACTCACACTTTTAAACCTCTGTGCCTTAGGCTTCTTCCTCAGCCTAGAACACCTGCCCCTACGCCCCCACCTAGCAAGAGCCTACTCATCAGTTAAAAGATTGAGTTATATGCTTTTCCTTAGAAAAATTTTGTGGTTGCTTCCTGTCCCAGGTAGAATAAATTGCTCTTGTCTTTCTGTATTGGCTTGATTCATGAACCCTTTATTTTGTCTTCCAGTATAGTTTAGTTCATTGTTGACCTGTCTCCCCCACTAGATTCCCAATCTCTTGAGGGCACTTAATTCTATTCATCTCTAGCTTTATGGTGATTTACCCACAATGATTTAGTAGAAGATCAATACACGTTTGTGAGCTGACCAAAGGACTAGCGAAGAGATGGCTGAATGAACAGAAAAACGTGGGCTAGATCCTGGGGTGGTCACACAAGCTACCCATCTGGAAGAGACTAGCTAAACAGTTTACTAAACTGTTTACACAGGAGGCAGATCATAGGGTACAGATGATAACTGCTCAATGACAACTCCAGATTCATTATGTGGTCTCTACTTTAGAATTTGTGTTAAGGGGTCAGGCTGTCCTGGATTATTTATATTGTACCTTCGTACTCATGGAAAAAAGGTCTTCCCTGTCTCCCGTGGGAACACAGGATTTGCTCCAACATGCCACTTCATTTGGTTCTGGCAGTCCTGAGAGTGTCCTGTAGGAATGTGTGCTTTGTGGAAACAGTGAGGATGGGAAGCATCTTTTTTTTTTTTTTTTCTGATACTTTTTATTGAGGCCAACATGCTCTCAGCTACTTTATTTCATTTTATTTTATTAATCTTTGCAACAACATTTTGAGGTGGGTCTTAATGTTCCCATTTTGTAGCTGAAGAAACTGAGATTGAATGAAATTAACTGTCTTGTCCAAGGTCACACAACTAAGTAATTGGTGGAGACAAAATTCATTCTCAGGTCTGTCTGTTCCCAAAGCCTAGCATCTTAACAGAAAAAAATACATGGGAGAAAAATGGATTCCCTTTCATAAAATGGAAATAATTGGATTTATTAAATGATGAGTTAGATATTTAAGGTAAGGTGTTTTAAAGTTATTATTCACCTTTAATCCCTCAAAATGATTTGCAAAAATGGCAAAAGGAATTAGGGATGGAAAAGTGTAATTCCTCTATCCACTATTGGCCCAAATTCTGCCATATCAACCTCCTCTGGCATTATACAGTATGAGATGCCTGTGGAGCATTTTGACCTATCTGCTTATTTTACAACTGAGATGGATGAGGCTTCAAGATGTCAGTGCATTTCTAAAGGTCACACAGAAAGTTGATAACAAAACTGTAGCTTAGAATGCTGGTTTGCCAAATACTAGTCCAGTTTTCTTTCTGCTAAATCAGCCTGCCTCATGGAGCCCATGAACACATATTTATAAAAAGTGGGGAAACAGTGGAACATTATTGCACTCTGAGGTAGAAGAGGGACAAACATTTGCCTTACCACCTGTCCTTATTTAGATGCAGATAAGACTTGGGAAAGAAGATCCTTAGTAGGCTAGCTGAAGAGTGTTGGGGCCCTTGTAACTTTGGGGGACTGAGTAGCTGCCTCCTGCCTGGGTTTGGGATAGGGGTCCTCTTTGGCTCTGGCAGGGCCAGAGGTGTCCCAGAGGGATGCACAGAGTGGGCCTCTTGAGCCTTATGCTCCTGCTCAGTTCTCAGCTAAAGGGTCAGAGGCAGAGGGGTCCTTCCAGTCTACTGGTCATGGGGTTAAAGAGACTGAGGCTTAAGGTCATCATGGAATGTGGGGTGGGAGGGAGGAAGTGATGATGGGCAGAGCACAGGAAGCTAAGCCTCTACTCCACCTCCTCCAACAGGTGAATGTGGCTCCAGGGGAGGAGGGAGATGGTCAGGTGAGATTGTGGGGATATGGATGGAGCAGGAGCAAAGGTCCAGGGAGAAACAGAGCTGATGGGAGTGTTGATTCTGGAAGTAGAAGCACTTCAAGGCATGTCCTGGGCTGTATTGGGCTTCTTGCAGTGCCTGGATTCTACTCCTTTCTGGGGCCTCAGGTTGTACCCTTTTGTCCCTATTTGGCAGGCCATTGCCTGCTAGCATAATTAGGGTCCCAACACTCCCCTAGCCTGGGGGACCACATAGCTCAGGGTTCTGTGTGAAACCTGTATGTCTGCAGTTCCTATCGGATTTCCTGTCCTTGTCAATATAGATGTGAGCTCTCCAGCCTGGCCTTCGTGCCTTCCCTCTCTCCTCTTCTTCTCCTCTTTCCCTCTCTTCCTGTTCCCTACCCACACAGCTTTGTGCTTCCTCTCCCTGACATGCCAGCTCCCGCTGATGCACACCATGTCTCCTCAGCCCAGGGAGCCCCTATTCTTCCCCACAAATTCCCTCAAGTCCTTAGGTCTGCACTGAACATTCATTTCCTTTGGTCCCAAAGCTCCTTCATGTGTTCTGGCTCCCAAGTTGCATCTTATACTACCCCATCTGCTTCCTGGTCTTTTAGGGGCAGGAGCAATTGTTTGAAGTCCTTGTACTGCCTATTCTTTCCAATATGGTGCTTCTGAACCAGGAGCAGTTTTGCCTCCTTGGGGATGTTTGGCAATGTCTCCAGATATTTTTGGTCATCACACTGGGTAGGTCACAATGGGGGCTACAGACATGCAATGAGTAGAAGCCAGGGAGCCATTAAACATCCTACAATGCACAGGACGGGCACCAATAAAGAATTGTCCTGCCCAAAATGTCAGTAGCACTGAGGTCAAGAAACCGAGCTCTATTAAATAGCTACAGGTCTACAAGGTCAGGCTTGAAAATTACCAGATGCTGAGCCTTTTGGCACTGAACTTCCAGGAGCAGCTGCTCCTTCCTTTCCTCACTTGGGGGAGAGGGGTGGGGCGTTGCCATGAAACAGTCACAACTTGGGCAGGAATCCACAGAGAGGAAGGCAGGGGAGATTCCCCCCTCCTGGAATTTACTACCAATGTTTAGAGAAAGCATTGCACTTCAGCTATTAAATGCCTTTCTGCCTCTACAAGATAATGCCAGTTTTTGTTTTTTTGAAAGATAATAGCAACTTACTTTTCTAGTACTTTATAAAATGCAAAGTTTCATGTTGTGAAAGTTGAATACATTAAGTTTTGGAGCCCTCCCCTTCTCAATTTCTTGTTCTTCAATCATCATCCTTTTTTGAATATTGGAAAATTTATTGTGTCAGAAAAATACTGTAAAGCTGGCTCCATCCAGAAAAACTGATTGCCTTTGTTTCAATTTAAGGTTAATGAATTCTTAATTTCTTAAGGGTATGCTTATTTCTCCGAAACTGGCCCAAAGAGTTGCTTGTTTCCTTCAACCTGAGCTTCTTAGAGCCTGTTTCTAACTAAGCAATGAAAATACTCACCCAGAGATTTAAATGGTCCATCTAACCTCTTTTTTCCCACCCTTGCCAGTTTCTTCCCTCTTCACCCAGTTGTCTTCAGCATGGGGGAGCAGAACCACTCTACTGGGAAGGAGCTTCAGCACAGGACACGACCAGAGGCTCCAGGAAAGAAAAGTTGGCACTCCCAGGCCTACGCCCTCGGGGCTGTTTCCAACTTTATGTCTACTTTTCTGACCTTTCCTATCTATAAGGTTGTGTTCCGGCAACAGATCCATGCTATGGCAGTGTCAGAGGCTGTGAGGCAGCTTTGGCATGAAGGTCCTCAATACTTCTACCGGGGAATCTACCCACCTCTTCTCTCCAAGACGTTGCAAGGAACTCTGTTGTTTGGGACTTATGATAGCCTGCTGTGCTCTCTCTCTCCTGTTGGGCCACACTCCCTGGGACACCGCTGGGCTGCAGGGCTCATGTCTGGTGTGGTGGAGGCTGTGGCACTTAGCCCATTTGAAAGGGTGCAAAATGTGCTCCAGGATGGCCGAAAGCAAGCGCGCTTCCCCAGCACCTTCAGTATTCTCAAGGAATTCAACTCCTATGGGCTTTGGGGGCGGCTGTCGCTGGGCTATTATCGTGGTTTCTGGCCTGTCCTTGCCAGGAACAGCCTGGGCAGTGCTCTATATTTTTCTTTCAAGGACCCCATCCAGGATGGCTTGGCAGAGCAAGGCCTACCCCACTGGGTTCCTGCCTTGGTGTCTGGTAGTGTCAACGGAACAATCACCTGCCTAGTTCTGTATCCTCTTATTGTGCTGGTTGCCAATATGCAGTCCCATATTGGTTGGCAGAGCATGCCAAGCCTGTGGGCCTCTGCTCAAGATGTGTGGGACACTCGGGGCCGAAAGTTGCTCCTGATATACCGAGGAGGCTCCCTGGTCATCCTAAGGTCCAGCGTGACATGGGGCCTCACTACGGCAATCCACGACTTCCTGCAGAGGAAGTCCCACTCCAGGAAAGAGCTAGACTGACTAGCTGCAGGAAGTGTGGCCAATACATCTTGTTATTTCTAAATCTTCCCAGATTGGTTCAATATAGCTTACTTTTTTTTACTCAATTGCCTAATACAACCATTGTATGTAAACTCATTGTATGGGAGAAGTTCCCAACTACTAGCCTCTTGGGCACACACAAAGCCCAACAGGATTTCATAGTGAGAAAGAAAAGTTCACCCTAGTCTCCCCACAGCTTCAGTAGCCTCAGAACCAGGAGGCCTTTAAATAACTTATAGCTCAGATTAAATGTTACACCTTGAAGAAATCCCTTGACAATAAGATGAAACTTAAAAAGATGACATTACTCAGGAGTTCTGGGACTTCTCTAGGTGTCCTCCAGACCAAACTTAATGGAACTCCAATTTCAAAGAACTGTGCTTGACAGTTAGGTTAGGGATTCTAGAAAGCTTCCCAGATGGCTATATTTTCATGACATTGTTTACCGCCTCTACCACCACCACTTTCACTTCTCAAGACTGTTGGTCCTAGTTTCAGGGTAGCAGATGTGGTTGGAAATCCTAAGTTAGACTTGGCTCAACTTATCAGATGCCACAAGAACTCGTGGGACTGGGAATAGGAGTAAGAAGAGATGTGGTCCATGGATGGAAAGAATAAAGACTTTGAAAGAAGAGATTTGCCAGGTGCAGTGGCTCAAGTCTGTAATCCCAGCACTTTGGGAGGCGGAGGCAAGAGGATTGCCTGAGCTCAGGGGTTCGAGACCAGACTGAGCAACGTGGCAAGACCTTGTCTCTACAAGAAATAATAAAAAAAAAAAAATTAGCGGGTGTGGTGGCACATGCCTGTGATTCCAGCTACTTGGAAGGCTGAAGCGGAAGGATCACCTGAGCTCAGCAGGTCGAGGTTGCAGTGGCCGTGAGTGTGCCATGGCACTCCAACCTGGGTGACGGAATGAGACTCCAACTCAAAAAAAAAAAAAGAAGATAATTAATTACATGTAAAATAGCAACATTTACTATAGGTTGCTTTGTGTTATCTGCTAGGACATTTTTGATAGCAAAGTGATAACATTGCCTAGAAAACAATTGAGTTTCCTTAAGAAAACTGGAAGTGAAGTGAAAACTGGAATTGAAGTAACCTCATCTCTTCACAAATAATTGCATATTTTGTTGATGAGGATAAATGTGGGTACTATGACATAAAGATCAGAAATCTTAGTCTGTCATTCAGATCCATTCAAATATAGTCCTCATAGAACTTTCAACATATTATCATACCACCCCCACTTACATGGACCCCATACACCAGCCAAGATGAACTATTCCCCAAACATGCCATGAGATTTCCCATGGCCATACTTTGACCAACACTCTTCTTTTCACCTATGACATTCCTACTTCACATACCAGTGTGCCAGCATCCTTTCAGTTTCTCAAAGCCCAGCTCAGATACCATCTTTTCTATGGAGCCCCTTCTGATTTCCCCCAACTGAATGTGACATTAGTCTCTTGTGATGCCTCCTTCCCAACAGCACTTCATAAATGGTACTAATTCCATTATGCCACAGATCTCATGTGGCCCTGTGTTCTTTAATACCTCCTACTAGACTGTAAAACTTTTTGAAAGCAGGGATTCTTGTATGCATTTAAAAATCATTCATTGTGCCTAGGTGCTCGATAATGTTGGCTGAATTACTGAATTGATTATCAAGCTGTGATATGGTCTATATCCTCAGGGTGCTGTCCCTTGTACATGAAGATAATGTTATTGACTCACTGTCAGCAAGACACATGCCTTTGGGAATGTGTTCTCTTAATAGTGGATTTAGTTTTATGCTCATGATAATGATGCTGCTGATGATAATGGTAATAATAACAATAATAAAAAAACACTTTCAACTGGAAAATTTGATGAGTTTGTGTTATTGATGACATATTTGTTATTAGCACCACTTCGAGATCTTACATTTCAACAACAGAATCACATTGCATAATGGTCCCATTTGCTTCAACTGTGAAATTTTGAGTTGATAACATGTGTTAGAGTTTTCCCCATTATAGATGATATCATGACATTCCCTCTACTTGCATCTCCTTAGCAAACCAAATTTGTTCTTTATTTGTCCTACCGGATTGTAGATCTAGCAGTGAAAATTTATCAGAGAATGTCACAGGAATTAAAGATACAATTGTTGGAGATGTGATGTCAGCCTTTGTCACTAAGGTTGACAGAAAATGACTGGTCTAGAAGAGCTGGAGATGAGTTTCCACATCTGCAAATCTGAATGAGTTGGGACAGTACTTGTGGATTCACAGAAGTAGAACACAGCGTGTGTATAACGAAAGGAAAAGCAGAACAGCAGCTAGTTATATTTCAAGGTTAAATCTCAGAAGGAAGAAAATATTGCTTATAAATATAGTTTATAACTTCACTTATGGCTTTGGTTTTTAAACTGAAAAGAAGGGAATAAGCTACCACCACTCCTTCACTTTTTTATTCAAAAGATGCATTTATCTCCAAGTACTCTTGTCAATTTCCATTTATGTCACGGTATCAGTTCGTGTCCCTTTCTTCATTTTTACTTCTTATTTAGAAATAATTTCAAACTTGTAGAAATGTTACAAGCAAAAATAAATCATAAAGAACACTCATATAGCCATTACTTAGATTTACTTATCATGAACATTTCCCCCCATTTGCTTTATTATTTGAGGGTGCATTCTGTCTATACACATGCATAAAATATTTTTCCTTTTTTTTTTTTTTTTTTTTGAGTTGGAGTCTCACTCTATTGCCTAGGCTAGAGTACAGTGGCACGCTCACGGCCACCACAGTCTCAACTTGCTGGGCTCGGCTACCCTTCTGCTTCAGCCTTTGAAGTAGCTGGAACTACAGGCGTGCGCCACCATGCCCGGCTAATTTTTGGTTTATTATAGAGACGAGGTGTTGGCAAGTTGCCCCGGCTGGTCTTTAACCACTGGTCTCAGGCAATCCCTCTTGCCTCAGCCTCCCAAAGTGCTGGGATTACAGGCTTGGCCTAATATTTTTTCTTAAATGAGAGTTGCATACATCGATTTTCAATGTTTCTAGATTAAATATTTATAGATCCAAATTTGTTTGAAAAGACTTTTATCTCCATGACAATGGTGCAGTTATTACAGAATATTATAAAATGAAAACCCACAAGGCATATACTTGGTCTTTGACCCTGTTTGCTGGCACACAACTCCTAAAATCCTTAGTATTTCCAAAGTGATGTATTTTTGTATGCTAATGATTGACTGATGGCTGGCAGCCCCTAGGTAGCTTCAGGATGGATGGCTGGTCACCAGAAAAACCAGCACACCACTAGAGGGTTGGGACTTTCAGCCCTCCCTACCAATTCCCTCCCCACCACCAGGGATGGTAGAGGGGCTGAAAGTTAAGTTGATCATCAATGGTCAATGCTTTAATCAGTCATGCCTACATTATAAAGCTTCCATAAAAGCCCAAATGGACTGGGTTTGGAGAGTTTTTGGATGGATGAACACGTAGAGGTTTCTGGAGGGTAGTGTGCCTAGGGAGGACATGGAAACTCCACACTCCTTCCCCCATATCTCACCCTATGCATCTCTTTATCTGTATCTTTTGTTAATGTTCTTTATAATAAACCAGTAAACATAAGAGTTTCCCTGAGTTCTGTGAGCCACTCTAACAAATTAACTGAACCCAAATAGAAGGTTATGGGAACCCTAACCTGAAAGTGATTGGTCAGAAGTTCTGGAGGCCTGGACTTGTGACTGGTGTCTGAAAATAGGCGAGCAGTCTTGGGGGACTGAAACTTCATTCTGTGGGATCTGATGCTATCTCTCAGTAGATAGTATCAGAATTGAACTGGAGGACACCTAGCTGATGTCCACTACATAACTGCTTACTTTCCTGGTGTGCAGAGAAAAACACATTTTAGATCACAGAAGTCGTTTGTGTTCATTGTGGTGTGAGAGCAGAGGAAAAACAGTTCGTGTTTTTTCTCCTCAGAGCATATTTTTAAGCTAAATTGGCAGTAATTGTTTACTATATTTCCATTTATAAAAGCTTTACATTTACATTTAGGTATGTTGAGAATTGAAGCTATGCACTTATAAACACGGATTTACAAATAAAGCATGTTCTAATTTAAATAATTAATGTCTACAAATTGGTTCATATAAAATCTAGGCAATATTATAAAATTATATAGAACTATCCAATTTTTCCATTTAAATCTTCTGAGTAAAGTTTAGGGGTGTAGTAGTTTTCTAGTAATTTTAAATGTCAATATTTAGTTTTGTGATGTTAATATAGTTATATTTTTTGATATTTAAGAAATGAATTTTAGGAGTTGAGATCAATAAAATAACAAGGTAATAAATACCTATATCTCTTATTTTATTTTATTTTATTTTATTTTTGAGTTGGAGTCTCACTGTGTTGCCTAGACTAGAGTGCATTGGCCGCTCCCGGCCACCGCAGCCTCGACCTGCTGGGCTCTGGCGATCCTTCCGCCTCAGGCTTCCAAGTAGCTGGAACTACAGGCACGCGCTACCACGCTTGGCTGATTTTTTGATTTATTGTAGAGATGAGGTCTCCTCAAGTTGCCCAGGCGGGTCTTGAACCCGCGGGCTCAGGCAATCCACTCACCTCGGCCTCCCAAAGCACGAGATTACAGGCTGAGCCACCGAGCCCGGCCTCTTTTTTTATTTTAAAGTGGTGGGGTACAAGTCAGGATTGAATGCATAAGTGGTTTAGGTACAGGTGAAGTTTTGGGTCTCCCATTGGACCTCACTTTGCCTGGATTAGGATCAGGCATCCTTATTGATGTTATGTGCTTCCCCCTCCCTCCTCTGGCAGAGTGCTGCTACCACTAATCTCATTTTTGTAGTATTACCTATACCTCTTTAAAGACTTGTCAAATGTAGAGCTTAACACTGAAGCTACTTGGTATAAAAAGGTGGAAGAAAAAGAGTAAAAAGCCATTATATAGTTGCTGTGTGCATGCT